TATAGTTATAATATTAATAATAATAGTAATAACAATAACAATCATTCTCAATCTCTTATTCCAGTATAACAAACTTGTAAAGCGTTTAAAAAAGAAAAATCCTCCTCTATGTGCTACTTGGTCTTAGAAGGGATTGGATCTTGAATTTATTTGATTTACACATAAAGCTTTTGTTTTTAACTTCGCATAATTTCATAGTTTAGAGAAAAAAAAGCACGTAGGAAAGGATGGGGTTGTGTTTTAATTTGGATTCAAATAAATAGTCTGAATAAACCAAAACAATCACATATGATTTAACTACACAAAATGTGTAACGGGTTCCTGTTCAAATCGGACCCCGGAACAGGCAATCACATGACAACGGCTATAATGCAGCGTTGTCAAGGAAACGAGTCTCCCAATCGAACAGCGTGAGAGGTTGCATCGCTCAGCTCCTCCAAAGGACACGAAGAAGAAAACACAGGAAATTAATCATTCAGGGTGAGTTTGACTAATTTATTTAAACAATACGGTAATATACTGCCAATATGTTTAAGGATGTAAAAAGGAGTGTCTGTGGAATCTTCATTAATGTTAGCAGCCAGTCGCTCCTATTCGAATAACATTTAAGTAGCCTACATATCCGGTGGTGACCCTTCAAAATAAAGCAACTGCAATACGCCGAAATGTGTTACACATATTAAGGTGAGGTAAAGATGTCAAATAATCTAAATAAAGTTTCAGTCAAAAATTTAAACAGTTTAAGTGAAAGGATTCTTGACACCTTTCATTCATGTTTTTGTAATGATGCTTTTAATTTAGGGGAATTGCTGTATTTCCGGTGTAGGTTCTCAGTAGCTTTATACATTTGTAAACGCGTTAGCAACTCCGTTTGTTTAAATTGTCAAAACATTTAATCACACATTTAGATCGTTAGTGTGGTTTCCATAAAACAAAGATTCAGGTCCTTATATTGATGTTTAGAAAATTAATAAAAATGTTATAATCCTGAATTATTTTATTTTATTTTGGATTAATCTCACTGGGGGCGAGGAGGCGACACAGGACAGGGGGAAGAGGGAAGGAGTAGCAACACTTGTATTTTTTTATTTTTTCTGTTAAATGTGAACTCCATATTTATTTGTATTTGTATTTTTGCTTAATTTTAATTTAATTTAACTTAATACTTTTTTGCCCTGTAAGCTGCTGGTAAACTTAATTTCCGGAGAGAGTCTTCCCAAGGGATCAATAAAGTTCTGTCTAAGTCTATTTGTAAATGTGAAAACTGTAATTTTTTTCTCCACAGGGTCATCATGCAGGATCACAGGAGTGGGAGGAAAGCATTTCCATCAGTGGTCAGCAAAGACAGGATCATCTGGGAATTTCCGCAAGTATATCCCTAATACATTTAGTCTTTTATTATTTATATTTATTATTTTTAACTGCAGTAGTATTAACTTCTTTCAAAAAGATCTAGATCTTCCAGAATCTTTAAAT